GACCTCTGCAAAGGAACGAACTGCCGTCCCCGGCCCTCCCGCATGAGAGGCCCAAGCTGGTGCCACCATTAGCCGCCGAACCAGAAGGAGTTCACGTTAGGGTTCTCTTTTGTAAAATGTTATTTTTGAGGGTGGTCTGGGCCTTAGATCTTTATCTGCCCTACAGGATGCATACTCTCTTAAACTATGGCATAAATACAAAGAAAACACCTCAATCTGGTCCAACTACATGCACAGTAGGTATCCTAGAGGTCTTTCTTGTAACCCGAAGGTCACTGATTCTTGCATCTGGAAGAGATTATGCTCCTCAGATTTCTTAGGTTCCCAGCTTATCTCCCATGACAGTGAAGCTAACATCATATGGAACCCCTCCAATGATGGAAGTTTCTCTTTAAAAAGTGCTTACAATGAAATCAGACCATCCTCCTCTTGCCCCCCACTCATCAAAACAATTTGGACATCTAAACTCAACAACAACATTAAGTGTTTCCTTTGGAAGCTACTTAATAACTTCTTACCCCTCCCAGAAAATCTCACCAGAATGCACATCCTACCCTTCCCTACTAGGTGCCCTTTCTGTGAGAAGTCTTCCACCTTCTTAGACCACATCTTCTTCTTGTGCCCAATTATCAAACCCCTATGGACCTACTTCATGGGATTATACCACATTCGGATTCCCAATAATCCTTCTTCTATTAGGACCATCCTTTCCTATTGGTGGAAAAACCCTGAACCCAAAACCCTGGTTGGCTCACTTAAACTCTCCCTACCTGGTATCATCTCATGGCATATATGGAAACATTACTGCAATTTCACTTGGGGTGATTCAGATTTGACACAACCACACACACTTATGCATACAATCAATCACTACACCCTAAACTGGAGCTCTACTCTCAAATTTACCAAACCCCAATTCATACCCAAAGTCCTCTCCCTTGAACACATGATCTCCTCAAATTTCCACAACCCTAAACCAAAATTCAAGAAAATAACTTGGCAAAAACCTGTTAACTCTCTCAAGCTTAATGTTGATGCAGGATACAGCAACAGGGGAACATTCGGTGGCGCAATTCTCAGGAACTTCAGAGGCGCAATGATTAAGGCCTGGTCTTTTCCATCCTCTGGCAGCTCAATACTTGAAGCAGAACTCATGGCAATTGTTAAAGCATTAAAACTCTGCGTTGCGGATTGTGATTCCCACGTACAAGTAGAATCAGATTCATATGAAGCGGTAAGGCTTATTTTACGTGGAAGGGCAGGAGGAAGATTGCTCCCTCTCATAAGCGAAATCCAAAACGTAACTAACGGCAAGCCCTTTTTCTTCGATCATTGCTATAGAGAAGCTAATTGCGTGGCCCACCTCTTGGCCCAAGAAGCAACTCCCCAAGTCATATGTTACAACAATTTAGCTCAACTTCCCGCAACTATTAGGGGCTCAGTAATTCTTGACTCTGAAAATCTTTCGTATTTTCGTCAAATGTAATTTTACTTTGAGGTAAGGCCTTATGTCCCCCTCCATCTTTTCTTTTTCATTCTAATAAAACTTAATCTTCTCCAAAAAAAAAAAAAAAAAAAAAAAATATATATATATATATATATATATATATATATATATATATATAGAATTTTATTCATGTCCGGAATTCCGGACAGGAACCGCCGTCCGGACGGCGGCGTTTGGCCGCCTTCCCGGTGATATTTTTTGATGAAATTTTTATGGAATGTTCTCCATCAAGTCTAGTTTATCCACAAAAACATTCAGCCAAAAACTCAATCGGGAAGGTCGTCAAATGATTTTTGCAAGTTAACTCGTTCGGAATATGTATTTTCCGGACTAGTTAACTTGAAAAAATCATTTGACGACCTTCCCGAATGAGTTTTTGGCTGAATTTTTTTGTGGATAAACTAGACTTGATGAAGAACATGTCATAAAAATTTCATCGAAAAATTACACCCGGAAGGCGGCCAAACGCCGCCGTCCGGACGGCGGTTCCGGTCAGGAATTCCTGACCGGAAGAGTACTCTATATATATATATATATTTACCTTTCATTCAAAAAATAGAGATCACATAAGTATATATAACCATATAAGTATCACTAAAATTTAATTGTTCTCTAACCTAACTAAAATGAAATAGGTTGGATTCCTAAATTAACTCTACCCATGCGCATGCATATTACTCCGTACAACATTTAAAGTACTAATATGAAATTAACTAATTATTATCCTAATAATGATAATAATTTTATGTTATTTTATATAAAATGTATTTAAAATATATTTTTGGAAAAATTGAGAAAAAGTCATATAGAATAGCTAAAATTGACTTTTAGAGTAACTTAAGTCAATTCAGCCATCGACATCGCCACTGCCTCCTAAGCGAGTGGCATCATGTAATACCCGAGATTAATTTAAAAGGATTAATAGTACTACTCATACCAACAAGGTGCATCTCCTTTTAAGAGAGCTCATTAGCCAAGAACTCCAAAGTTAAGTGTGCTTGCATGGGAGTAGTCTTGGGATGGGTGACCCCCTGGGAAGTTTCTCAGGGTGCGCACGAGTGAGGACAAAGTGCGCGTAAAAGGCTAGTGGCGGTTTGTGAGAACAGTACTTGAGGTCCGCAGAGGTCTGGAGTAACTACCTCGGGTCCACCCGGGCCGGGGTGTTACACATCATCACCGCCACCCAAGTCGTTTCTGCCATCCAAGCCAATCGCATCGCCTCTATCGTCCAGGCTTCTCCTCTCACTAGATGTCTTTGCCAGGGACGGAGGTACGTATAGGGAAGGGGGGCTCACCCCCATCCCCCCAACCTTTTAATTTTTAATAGTACTAGTATTAGATATGATATAATCAGAAAAGAGCGGGTAGAATATAAGCCTCAATTTGAGATGCTTCCAGGTAGAATACTTTATGCAAATTTGTGAGCATATTTTTCATAAAGATTAAGTCATGTCTAACAAATGTTAGCTTAAAACTCAATGGGGAAGTCAGTTAGATAAATTATGGAAAAACACTGCGTTGTTTTATGTATACTAGATTCTCACCCGTGCAATGCACCAGACAAAATATAATCAAATCGTGTAATATTTTTTAAATCAACGATCAACAATATGATCAAACATCGATAAAATTATAATACAATATCAAAGTGTGAAAAGAGACAAGAAGTATATAATACTCCGCAATATGTTATATACTAAATGGTTAAGAAGAGTGGATGTTACAATATTCCAAAAGCATAGATTTAAAATTTGATCTTTCCTTAGATGCATGTACCCATAAGTGTTCTTTTTGCACAGGTATAACAAAAGTAAGTTGGCTTCTTCAAAATAAGAAAGTTTCTTTAGTGTCTCAGTGAAATCTTACTGAAACCTAATGACATTTTAGTGACAGTGGACGAAGGCTGCACCCATCTCCAGAAGCATCTTTTACTCGTTTTTATTTATATACTCCCTCCGTAACTTAAAAATCTTCCCACTTTCCTTTTTCGTCCGTAACAAAAAAATCTTCTCATTTCTAAATCTTCCCATCATACCCTCAATAATTCTTAAAATAATACACTATTACAACTACTTTTTTTGGATTTATCCTACATTCCACCACATTATTCCACTATTTTCCCATCATACCCTCAATAATTCATATCATCTTTCACTATTCTTAATCTACCTACTTTTGAAATGGGAAGATATTAAAGTTACGGAGGGAGTATCACGTACTAGTGGTACTACTACTACTTGCTCATTTCAAAGTACATTAATTGCAATTTGACCGTATACATGAAAGGATATGAAGCTATCAACATTATTTCTCTGTCCATGAAAGGATGTGAAGCTACTACGTATTTTTCATATGAGTTTTTCTTTTCAATTTTATATAAAAAATGACATTTTCTTTGAATATTATTAAATTAAATTCAAAACAATATGACTTATTCTAAATATTTTTAAAAAAGTGAAATATTCAGTGACTTATTCTCAGTGACTCATTCTCTATGAGTGACTTGTCACTCTGAAATAAACTATAGTAACTATTGATCAGTCACTTGTACACAATGACTGCTCACATTTTTGTCCGAAAAGCATAACTAGTCATATACTCCATATTTGTTTGGGGAAACTCTGTTAGTAATTACATAACATTTTTTCAAAATTATTTTAAATACATTATATATAAAAACACAAAATTATTATTATTATTAGGATAATTATTTAATTTCATATTAGTAATTTAAATGTTATACAGAGTAATATGCATGTGTATGGGGAGAGTTAGGGAGTGTTTGCATTTGCTTTAAAAATCACTTTTTAAAATTATTTTGGAAAAAAATGCTTAATAGTAAAAGTTGGTAGTATTTGAGAAAAATGATTTTCAAAAGTAAAAGTTGGTAGTATTTGGTAAAATATGTGTTTTTTGTGTAATAGAAAAAGTAAAAAGTAGTTTCTAACTTTTAAGTTTTAAGTATTTAATTTACGCAGAAATTGTCACTTGAAAACGCTCTTTTCAACTTTTTAAAGCCAAAAGCTCAAAATCATTTATTTTTAATTTTTTAGACATATCTTTTGTAGGAATACTGCCTACGTCCCAAACTGATTTGCAAATTTGACTTTTTTGGGTCAAATAATTTTATTTTATTCACTTAATTAGGATGTCAATTTGTAATTATATTTTAATTTCAAGTTTATAACTTTAAAGAGATTTTAATGTAGTTTCGGAATATAAAGAATTGGATTTTATTATTAGTTGATCGAAAAATATTGACTTTAAAAAGGAATTTGGTAGGGGAAGGTATGTCATTTTAGGATAACCGCCAAGTTTCCAAGATTTGTGCGGTTATGCCTACAGCCTACGTGCTCTCTAATGAGCACCTTACTTGCATAATAAAATATACTCCGTATGTGGTACGCTTACGACCACTCCGTATTTCATTTCATAATGAAATCAATTCAATTTTTATTAATAAGATCCGTATGCAAAATGAATAGGACTGCGTGCAAGTGGACCCCGCTATGCTTATCTAAAAATATTAACGAGTTTTCTTGACATGTATAAATACAGAAATTGCGGATTCGAAGCATCAGTTTTGGGTTACCAGCACGACTCCTCGCATTTCTCTCAATCTGAACAAGTCTCTTTCTATCTTATTATTGCCTTCTCCCCTGTCTTTCATGGATCCTTACAAGGTATTGAACTCCTAATTTGTTATCATGTGCTTCCATAACCGCTCTTTTATCCTTTTCTATTTCCGCGTATTCTTTCAATCAATACATGTATAGCCACAGAGATGAATCGAATCATTGCCCGTGGATTTATTTGTTTATCTCCGTGCGGTTTTGATGCAGAACCGTCCATCCAGCGCCTTCAATTCACCTTTCTTTACCACCAACTCTGGTGCTCCTGTGTGGAACAACAACTCCTCATTAACAGTCGGAACTAGAGGTATTTCAGTATACATTTCTAGTACGGAGTAGTTCCTTTGTCATTGTTTTTTTCTGGATATTGTATCGTAGTTTAACTGATGAGTTTATGCTCATCAACTTCTTATTGGTGCTTATGACGACAGTATAAGAAGTTTATTCATTTGTAATTCATTTCTTCAAAGAATTCTGAATGTCAATTTCTAGTGCCACAGTAGGTAGCTATGGCTTGGACTTCCAGCTTTTTATCTATGTTATGCACAGATTCGAACCCTTCAATCAAGTACTATGCATGTTTATTCTCTGAAACGAAAATTAGATTTTTTAAATACAATACAAGCTATAGCTTACTCTCTAGTCTCTATGAGTTTGAATCTGAAATTTGTTTCAGCACTATTATCTGATCCAGAAATAATAATTACTTCGGCTGTCCGCAATTAAATATTTAAATCAATCTCTAGACTTGTCTGATTCTTTAATATCCAGATTAAGAGAGCTGGGGTTTGGTTTGAGCATTACATACCTTCTTTTCTTAACCATTCACATTGAGATGCTTGGTTTAGCTCCTTTTAGGAGTTTCCGCTGATAACATTACTCTTCATATTTGTTCAGGACCAATTCTACTTGAGGATTACCACTTGGTGGAGAAACTTGCTAATTTTGACCGCGAACGGATTCCAGAACGTGTTGTACATGCCAGGGGAGCGAGTGCCAAAGGGTTTTTTGAGGTAACTCATGATGTTTCTCACCTGACATGTGCAGATTTTCTTCGGGCCCCAGGGGTTCAGACACCTGTTATTGTTCGATTCTCTACTGTTATCCATGAGCGTGGAAGCCCTGAAACCCTAAGGGATCCCAGAGGCTTTGCAGTGAAGTTTTATACTAGAGAGGTAATGCTGATTAATTATTTGCGCCCTGGGTTCATCCTCATTCTTTTGTAGTGAAGTTATCTTGTTTTTACTTAACATGATCATTGATCATGAGTAATCTTTATTATATATCATTGATGGCAACTGGGAATTATGCTGAAACTAGTATTACTTTTTTCCTTCATAATTTTTTATATCTTCTGCACGGGTCTTTTATTTTTTTATAGAACAACTCACAATATAAAAATACAGAGATGAACACAATTCTGGGCAATTTCGAGAGTGCCAGAACTCTCCAGGGTCTACTTGCTAACTGAATAACACCCTCCTTCTTACTCTACTCTCACTCCTATTTATTTCTTTCCCCCAACTAACTTCCCACCTGTCTAACTAACTCTTTATTCTACTTCTTTGTGTATACACCTTGCCAAAATTCCTATTGGGATCAATATACTCTGAGTGCTATCATTTCTTCCCCCTCTGAAAACACCATGCCCTCAAGGTGGAGCTGAGGGAACTGTTTTTGAAAGTGCTGTAAGTCTTCCCAGGAATCTTCATATTCCTTCAATTGCTGGTTACTGTCTCCGGTGAACTAAAATCTTTCTTTCCTCCTGCATCTGCTCTGCAGACCAAGAAGAATACAATTCTTCTGGGTGCACCTGTAGTTTCCATTCTTTGTAGTACCCATTCTTTAGTCAAACATGCTGGAAAGAGGCTGACAAGGAATGCTGGGATTCATAGCCTTTTTAACAGAGATATTTGAAAGATAGGATGCACTTTATGGTTTATGGTAAATTCAACTTGTAAGCCACTTGATTGATTTTTTCAACCACCTCAAAAGGCCCATTGTACCCTGGGCTTGACTTTTGGTTGGTTATTTTTTAACTAGATTTTTCTGTTTATAAGGCTGAATCTTTACAAAAAACTGATCCCCTACCTCCAATTGACTATCCTTCCTCTTCTTGTTAGCATATTGTTGCATTTGATTCTGAGCCTTTTCTAAATTACCCTTTAATTCGTACAACATCATGTTCTTTCAGCCGTCAGTCTTGTCACCTCTTCTACAGCAGTTAACTCAGCATCTCCCTTAACTAAAGCTGGTGGATCCTGTCCATTTAAAGCTTTGTATGGGGTGGTTTTCAATGAAGAATGAAAATTGTTATTAGACCAATATTCTGCCCAAGGAAGCCACTTAGGCCACTGCTTGGGTTTGCTTCCTGTAGTACATCTCAAATAGGTTTCTACAGACCTACATACCACCTCTGTCTGCCCGTCAGTTTGGGGATGATAGGCGGTGCTGTATCTGAGTTAAGTTCCTGCTAATTGAAATAATTTAGACTAGAATGTACTTAAAAAATACCGTCTCTGTATGATACTATGTATTTCAGAAATCCATGTAATCTCACCACTTCTTGAATGAAAATCTCTGCAACTCCTTTAGCTGTATATGGATGAGATAGAGCAATGCAATGGGCACACTTTGTCAATCTGTCTGCTACCACTAATATGGTATCTTTGCCCATTGCCCTAGGTAGTCCACCCACAAAATCCATGCTTATATCAATCCATATTTGTGTCGGAATTGGAAGTGGTTGGAGAAGTCCTGCATGTTTCAAAGCCTGATATTTGTTTCTATGGCACACTTCACTTTGCTCTACACAGTTCTGTATTTCTGCTCTCATTCCTTCCCAGTAGAATACATTAGCTATCCTTTTCAAAGTTCTGAGATTATTAGAATGCCCCCCATGGCAGAATCATGAAACTCATGTAGAATAGAAGTGATCCTGGGAGAATCAGACTGCACTAATAAATCCTGTACCAGCTTCGTGCATCTATCATTGTTCAAGAGTTCTTCCTCCAGGCCTTCCCATTCCTGGCATGTCACCACTGATAACGAATAGAAGCCTTGTTTCCTGCACAGTGCATCTGCAGCTTTATTTTCCAAACCTGGTTTGTATTTTATTACAAAATTATACCTCATCGGCTTAGTCACCCATTTCTGCTGATCATCTCCAATGATTCTATGTTCAGTGAGAAATTTGAAGCTCTTCTGATCTGTGCGTATCTCAAAACATTTCCCTAATAAGTACGGTCTCCATTTTTGAACTTCCAATACTATTGCCAATTTGCTAGCAATTCTCTTTCATAAACTAACTTTTTCTGATTTCTTTCACAAATAACCTTGCTTATATAAGCCACCGGTCTCCCTTCTTGCATAACACTGCTCCAATGCCTTTTCGAGATGCATCAGTTTCTACCACAAACATTTTGTAAAATCCGGAGCTGCCAAGACCAAAGTGTAGTAGTCATGGACTTTTTAACTGTTCAAATGCTTTCTGAGCTTCTAAATCCAATGGAACCCTCTTTTTTCAACAAATTTGTGAGAGGATTAGCAATTTTGCTATATCCTTGTACAAATCTTCTATAGTTCCCTGTTAACCTCAATAATCCTCTCAAACTTTTCAAACTCTGAGGTAAGGACCAATCTAAACATATCTTTCACCTTACTAGGGTCTGCGGACACTCTTTGCCCTGAAATAATGTGTCCCAAGTAGGCTATTGCTTCTGCCCAAAGCTGCACTTCTTCCTATTAACCACTCACTGGTTTTCCTTTAAAATCTGTAACACCTTCCTCCAAATGTTCACAACATGGTTTCAAATAGCGGACCACAACAAGTGCTGCGGTCGCAATATTGTGGTTGCCGGGGGCTCCGCAACCGCATCAGCCCGCATCAGCTCTGTGATTTCATTTCACAGCCAAATCCGCAACGTAACCGCAACCGAATCCGCAACGGGGCCGCAACGGGGCCGCATCGGGCCGCATCCGACGGCGACCGACGGCAACCAGCCACATCAATGCTATCTATGCCCAAGTCTTCTAGTTCTTTTATTGGTTCATCTCATTCCAAGCTGCTTCCCACCTATTCCTTTCTTTCCACAACGAACCAAGATCACTTGCAAGAAATTTAAGGGTTAGAATGAAGATGAAGATGACAAATTATTGGGTCTCTGTTATCTTTCACCGACTCGCTTCTCTGGTCAAACTTGGGGTGAGAGGAGAATTTTTAATTTGGTAATACTCCGTAGGATGGATGGATAATTGGATATGGTATGCGTGGCTCGGGTTTTGTCTTAGTGAGAGGGTGGGGATATTATGTGTTTGAAATTAGTCTTATTCATCCATTTCTTTTAGAAAAAATATTATTCTGGAAATTATTTTTTCCCATTTCAATAATTGTTTTATGGAGGGGAGGGTAGTATTCTTTTTAGTACCAAAATTATCCTGAATAAGTGTAAAAATAATATCAGTATAGATTTTTTTTTGCAAACATACAATATGAAAATTTTAAAACATGATTATTATGACCCCGTTTGATGACTTTGAACCCCTTTGGTGATTATTATGATCCTGTTTTTCGGCTTATCGGACTTATCGACTAACTTTTTCACCAGACACCTAACTTTTGATTTTGCGCGTTGAATTGTGTAATATTTAGAAAAAACAAGGTTGAAGTTACTTTCCTAGCTGTATTGGTTGAAGTTAATATAAAGAATCATTTTAACTATTTTTCATATATTTTTTTATTTTATTAATAAAAAATATTTTACATAACAATTTTTTCAAATATACCAGAATTTGACTCAAACACTTCAACCAAAACTTAATAAACATTTGGAGTATCAGTCGATTCAACGGATTAATACCAAACCGGCTCTATATGCATGTTTTCGTAAAAATGAGTAATCATTGCAATTATTGAAAATATAACACTAACATTACCATATCAAGGTCTGTTAATGTTAAAATATGTTAACATGATTGAGCATGACAATATTTTAATGATATTTAGGAAAACAAACATAACACTTTTATGTTTAAGTATAATTAATACTCCTACAAGTAGAAGATTTGTAATTCCAAAAAAATCATTATATTTCTATTATGTGCGAATGTGAAAATATCTCACGCCGCAGCGGCCGCAATACGCATCGCAGCGGCCGCAATACGCATCGCAGCGGCCGCATAAGCCGCAACCGCAGTGACCGCAGCCGCAACCGCAGTGACCGCAGCCGCAACCGCAATGACCGCAGCCGCAACCGCAATTTAAAACCATGGTTCACAGTGATCTCCATTTTTACTATAAACCGGAATGTCATCAAAGAAAACCAACGTTTGTAATTGCGCAATGCCTTACAGCCTTATTGCTTGCCTCAGCTTATTCCATGGATATGGCGTACAATTGCATTGCTGATAGCGTATGGGGTTGTGGTGTACGTAATTAGACCTACACAATGAGGCTTGCAATGGCGTACGCTCTTTCTGGTCTGATTTTTAATGTTTATTTTGGGCCTAGTTGGCCCACTATTGAATAAAATACAAAACGGCAATCAATCTGTACACATACTCTGTCGTTCGCGCTGTGCCTTCTTCATTCTTCGAAGTTCTGCCTTCTTCATCTCATGCGATTTCATTGTTTGTTTGTTTGATGCTTTTTTTGTTATTTTTCTTTTAATATTCATTGCTCCTCTTCTAATTTTCTGTTTGAGGCTCCTCTTGAAATAATTTCTGTGTATTACTTTCATATTATTACTTTCATATTTTCTGCAAATTTTAATATTAATGACCTTTTAGTTTTAATATTTAACATCAGCTATAGGTCTATACTATTAATATTAAGTTAATTTCAAGTAATGCTAAATAATAAGGTTATTAATAATCTTAGACATTTAATGCTTTTCTGCATCTGCATTTTATATTTTTATTATTCTCCATGTGTTTAGTTTCTGCATTTTAGTATGTTTTTTCAGTTTTTATATTTGATGTTAACTTCAACTTTAATAATAATATTTAGTGTTGTATTTAATTTAATACAAAATTTAATATATTTTTTGCAATTAATATTAATTTTTTGTTAATATTAATTTTATGTTAATATTCTAAAGTTAATATTAAGTTATCCTTGTGTTAACATCATATATAAGCTAGATGAAGTTAATAACTTAATATCAGTATCATATTA